CATTAAGGAAGCCAGGGCTAGTGTAATGACTCGACACCTGGCTTCCCGATTAGCAGGGAAGCCGTCTCCATGCTTCTCGTCACTGGGTGACGAGGGAGCATTGAGCCGGCTTCCCAGCTAAATCAGGAAGTTGGGCAGCGTGTAATGACTTGCTGCCCGGCTTCCTGATACCAAAAGTATCGGACTAGGCATTGGAGCATTTCGGCGAATACGAGTACTCGCCCAAATACTCAGCATCGGCACAGATACTAGTATCAGTGCATCTCCAGGTCCAATTGTTCAATTCACCAGCAGGCGGGACTGGTAGCTGCTGAATAGCTGAACAGTGACTGCATCTGTTTGGTTACAGTCACTGTTCAGTTGCCAATTTTCTACCCGGCTCCTTTGACAAAAGCCAATTAGAAATTGATGTGTTGAGCTGCATCCACTATGCATCCACTGTATTCCAATGGTATTTTGGGCTCTAGTTCACACCAAAGTGTTCAGTTCCAGAGCATGTGGAAAAATGGCAGCATACCCTATTTTTTTCTGCTCTGGAACGCACCAAAAAACGCATGCAAAAGCATAAAAACCACATACACACGCCCTGGAACGCACTGAAAGCCGATTTTAGGCTAAAAAACAAAACAATTAAAAAAACGCTTGGAACACGTCAAAATGCGCTGCACATGCAGAAACTCATGCAGATCTGGTCCATATTTGGTATGAACAAGCCCTCAATCATCTTTTCAAGCAAACTGCAGTGCTTTGGGTTAAATTCCAGGGAAAAAAATCTTTTGCATGTGAACATCAGAATCTTTGTCATGTCAGACAGAAAATGTAAGCTGTACGCAAATCCTTCACTATTCAACATCCTCTGTGAGAATGCCACTCTTCCTGTCTATGGGCACCCTTCACTATGACAAAATTGTCAAGTCAAAATCCTCCACTTAGCTTTTACAGTCTTATCAAACAGTATCTTGGTACTGACACCATGTATATGGCAGGATATTATCCATCTGTTAGTGCACAGGCCCCATATATTTCTGTAGACTTGCCATACCCAGATAATCACTAACAAACGCTCGCAGTAGGGCTGCAACAACTAATCGATTATAATCGATTATTGAAAAAGTTGTCAACTATTTCAATCATCGATTAATCGGCTTCCGATTGGTTGCTCCTGTTCACGGCTCCACACACGCTGCGCGCCACACCTCCTCCCCACCTCAGACCCGCCCGCATCCATGCTCCACACGCCACACCTTCTCCCTGCCTCACGCTCACTGCCCGCCCAAATCCACGGTCGGCACAGGGACGCAGGGAGAAGAAGTAAGGAGGAGCAGGTGTGGGCGGATGACAGCCGCCGATAGACAGGCCCCATCTCAGAAACAGGGTGCTGGAAGACTGCTCAGGTAAGCCTGCACTTTCCCCACATGGTGCTCTATAATCTATGGCTGGGATAGTGGGATTTGTATTCCTCTATAGTTGATGGTACATTGTGCTGTATATTATACAGACCAATGTACCATCAGCTATAGAGGACTACAAATCCCAGCAATACATTATACACTGTATGTATAATGTATTGCTGGGATTTGTTGTATTCCTATATAGCTGGTGGTATTCTGCATTGCGCTGTATAGAGGACTACAAAACCCAACAATAGTACATTATAGAGCGCAATGCGGAATTCCACCAGCTTTAGAGGACTACAACACCCAGCAATAGTACATTATACAGCGCAATGCAGAATACCACCAGCTATAATGTACTATTGCTGGGATTTGTTGTATTCCTCTATAGCTGGCGGTATTCTGCATTGTGCTGTATAATGTACTATTGCTGGGTTTTGTAGTCCTCTATAGCCGGTGCCATTCTGCATTCATTGCTATATAATTTTACACTTTTCATTTCACTATATTGCACACCACACTTTCTTTTTTTTCTTTTTTACTTCCACCGCTCCAAGCTTGCTCCTGTGATGGACTGCAATCTCAATACAAACTAGTAGTCCCATCACCGGAGCCATTTTTTAAAATGTATTTTATTTTCTATCCGATTAACCGATTAATCGAACTTAATAATCGGCTAACTAATCGATTTTGAAAATAATCGTTAGCTGCAGCTCTAGCTCGCAGTATATGGCCAAACATGTAGTAGATAAAGGGCTGGGCCTAGCATCAAATCAGACCAACGAGATGCCACTTTGTCGTTACAGAGAGAAAAAAAATCAATTACTTAGGAGTGCAAAATATAGAGAAACTAAAAATGACCACAAGATGTAATATTAGACGATCAAACAATGAGATACTAGAAATAAATGTTAAAATATAATATTAAAGAATATAAAATGTAGTATGATGAAGATATCCACGTCATTCTGATTCTCTAGCTAAGTTGGAAGGAAGGAAACAGATTTTCTTTTCTTATTATAAAGGAATAATTCTGACTACATGGGCAGGGAAAGAATATAATCAAATTTCAAGACAACAGTGCCCCCTGTGGTCACTTCATGGTAACAGCAGCCCAGCTTCTCTTACTAGCTACGCAGTAAGGCGTATCATTGTGAAAAATGCAGATTTACTTTAAAAGCTGAAAGGTAGAGGGACCAGCAGTACAAAAGATATCAAACTCTTTGCTTGGATTCTGAAAACCCAAAAATGTCATTACTTTTGCAGGCTTCATACTCCACACAGTTGTTTACACCTGTGTCCTGCAGCACCACATCCATGAGGAAAACAATGAGCTTACTACCATACATGTCCAACATAGCCAACTATTCTTAAGACTGCCCACAGAACTTAGACCAGGGGTAGGCAATCTCGGCAACAAAGCTGTGGTGGAACTATAAACCCCATAAAGCACTGCAAGACTGACAGCCACAGGCCTGAAATCCGGCGGCAGAAGCATGATGGAATTTGTGGTTTCACCACAGCCAGAGTGCCGAGGTTGTCTACGCCTGCCTTAGTGGGTCAGTCTCATGAGCAAGTATGATCTCACCGCCCTCTGGGCCAGCTGTTCTATAAGCATATTTTAAGCCAAAATAAAAAAGGGAAAGAACATATTTTGTACATCTCTGGAAGACACATCCACGGTGTTTTATTCCTTTTTAACACGTTCCAAGAACAGGAAAATAAAAGTCGATGTGCCAGTCTGCAAGTGTCAGCCTGACCTATTTACTTCTGATGGATTACAAAGTACACAGCCCTCTCCTCATCTCTACAGCCCTTCTTGTGCACAGGAAGTTACCAGCTTACAAGATTATTGCAATAATCAACAGGTATTTTCTGCACTTGCCAAACAAGTATAACAAACCCTTTCAATGGCATACTTAGCAGAGCAAACGGGAACATTGCTAGGATTCACATACACTAAGAGCGCTGGAGAGCAGTCCATGAACTCCGAAGCCCATATGAGGCTGGGTTCACACCTAGGCATATCCAAGATGCGCGTTTCGCGGTAAAAAAACATGCGACAAACGCACGTTTCCGAGGGCTACCTGGCTGTATCCCAATGGATACACGCGGCAAATACGTAGGCGTACGGAATATGCACGTTTGCCGCCAAGAATACACCCCAAAGAAGCTCCTGTACTTCTTTGGGAGTAGGGCGTTTTGCAGCGCGTTCCTACGCGCTGTAAAACGCCCTGGTGGGAACCATGCCCATAGGCAATCATTGGTTTTCACATGTTGAGCGTTTTACAGAGCGTAGGAACGCGCTGTAAAACGCCCAGGTGCGAACCAGGCCGGAGGAGCCATGGAAAGCAGAAGGAAGGGACAGAGTGATAAAACAATGGTAGTTGATCAGCCTAAGATCATTCTCAGGAGCCTAAAACTGATGATTGCAGTGACAAACCCAAAGCCTGTCAACACAAGACCTTAGAATGGTGTCCGAGAGGTTAGTCCACCATGTTAGTTTTTCAACTGCAGATAGCGTGCCTGTACACGTTTATATCAGAGGACATGCGGTATATTTACATACCTTCTAAAATAAAACGGACAGCACTCACTCTCTCTCCCATGTACAACAATGAAGCACAGAGTTAGAGCAGACCTATACACTCACAAATCGTATTCTACCAATGCATCCCTCTATGGATGATGATTAATAACAACAGACATGTCAGCTGTAAAATGCTGTGGTTGTTGCAGAGCATTCACTTCCTGCTTTGATAGGGCAAAATGACTTCAGTTGGCCAAAGCAATGCACACTGGGAAGGTTACATTAGCAGAGCATTGCTGGGAAATCTCATCTCAGGGAAAGGCATTTTCTTACCCTGAGATGATATGTCTAGTGACATGTGCCAGAAATCCATAAAGTAAAAGGAGAGCTAGTAATCTGCCCTTAGTAAACATGGCCACTGTCAGAAGACTGGGGAAGAAAAGAGAAATAAGGTATACAAAGAATACAAAGCCGGCAATTATCTAGAAGTACGTGTTTGTAGATTGTCATTACTAAACATTTCTAAAGGTGTGTTTGTCGTTATTTTAACGATATGGGTAAAGGTCCGCTTTAATCATGTGAACGCCATTTACAATCACTTTTTTAGCTCACTGTATAGTAACAGTCTCACGTGTACTGTAAATAAGACCTTCATGTAACAACTCATGTAACAGGAAAATAACATGTAACAGGCAGTGAACGTTGGCTGCCCTCTAAACACGTAGTGTAGGTCATTGCTTTTCACTAATGTGACTTTGCCCAAACCCGATCATTGCCAACTTTATTCCTGCAGCACTCAAAGGTGCCAGTCACAAGATTTTTACATGCAGCTATACACTCTTGTCAAACCCATAATCAAACATGTGGAGTGTTCATTTAACTCCTACTCTTTCCCGGATGAGGAACAGACAGGCCAGTTTGTGCATTTAGCATGAAATAAGCCTTCTGTTGATGCGAGTCATTCATTTAGGATGTATAAGTAAAAAATAGTGACGTAAAGCTGATCAATGTACACAACCACACAGCGATGTAAACAGAACCCAAAACGGAGAAAGAGGAATACTAGGAGAACTTACCGAGTCTCTGGATTGTACCCCAGGATGTAGAAGAAGGAGTCTATCCTGGCTTTAAACTCCCGAGCAGCAAATATATCTGAGAAATGGGAGATGTTACACTTGCCCCTGTCACAAGAAAAAGAAAAAAAAACAGATTACGAAGTTATAAAGTCACAGACGTCACACATACCATTGGTGCACCTTACATAATTATATACAAGGTACAAGCACAGAGAGGAAGATTGCTGGTATCAAATGTAAAAATACAGGCAAGTGGTGTGTCACAAACCAAAGCAACCAATCAGAGGCCTGTCTACATTATATTAATAGCTGAAATTGTGCTTGCTTTAGGTAACAGTATAGTACAAGGTGGGGGACAAACTCCGGCCCTCCAGCTGTGCAACTACAAATCCCATGAGGCATTGCAAGATTCTCACACCTGCAGGCATGACTCCCAGAGACAGATACATGATGGGATTTGTAGACTCACCACAGCTGGAGGGCCAGAGTTTGCCCCTCCCTGGCATATTCGTTAACACCATTCAACCTGCCCTTCTCTATATGAAGGAATCTTACCTGCACTGTAATTATTGTTTAACAGATATAAACATTGATTACCATTGCCTACAACAATTGTGAAAAGAAAGGGGTGGAGCTTGGTGATGTCATTTGTAGGGGCAGCTTCTGTGAGCCTTGCAGCCTAAGTTTACAGCAGGAGATCGATGGGCAGACTGGTTGCAAGAGTGCGGTATTTAGACTGCCCATGCGGTTTTATATAGTGCTAGCGTGCACTAGTGACATGAATTCTTATTGTTTCAATCTTTATGAATTATTACATTTTAGGAATTTACCTTATTTCTTTCATCTTATACAGCATACAGACCTCTATGAATGGTGGAGCGTGTCCTGTTTGGAAGGATTCAGATTGAAATGATTTGTGCCTCACAAGTGCATTTGCCTTTCCATAATAGAAGGACTAATAAAATAGTGATCCCTTTCGGTTTTGGGTAGAGGGAGGTGCAAGCACGTGGAAAGACGTTTGTCTATATGTGTATTTTATTCATTTCACAGTTCTGGTACGCACTATTTCATTTATCCTAAACGCTAGGAGTTGAAAAGAATCTTTATAACACGTTTCTTAGTAGAATTGTATGTAGTTACAGCTTTTTTTTTTTACACTAATAGAGATTAAATTTTTTTAGTGACCTCTACAAATTAAATAGCAGATTTGTAAAACTCCCCCCCCCCCCCTTCCCAACCGTAACATTCTACACATATTGCCTCCTTCTGTATATACCCAGCTCACATACTGTGCATGTCTGTACATAGGTGCATGCATGAACCCTGAACCTGATGATTACAAACAATATTCACAAGAAAAAGTTAAACAGCGAGCCCTTCTGGCATGCACTGATGCTGGTCAGAGCTCCTTCAATGGTCCCTTGAATGAACCTGGTGTATAAAGCACACTGACAATACATCCTACATGTGTTCAAATGGCACATCAGCTGCCAGGACTCGAGCCCAGAGATTGCACCTATAGAGTCCCTAAGATATAACGCCATCAGGTTGCTTAATAGTCTAGCATTTATCAAAAAGTGACATATCAGTTTTGGGCGGACAGATACGCTGCCTCAGAAAGACCAATGTCAGTCCACATCATGGTGGCTCTGCCTCACCATACAGCTATAGCCTATCGGGAACCTTGGTTTACACATACTGGAAAAATGCTAATAATATTTTGCAGTCCATTGTTTTTTTGGTGGATATTCCTGTAAATGATTGAATGAGAGGTCAGTGATGCAGATCACAAGGACCTACAGCACCTAAACCTATTTGCATACGTACTATAGCATATCGGGATCTGTCCAGGTAGGATGTGTATTATGAGGCTCTGTAGGAATGTGTGGGGCTCCAGGAAAGCTGTGCTGTGAGTAAAAGAAGATTATCCACTCTCTGTTCTCCAGCTCCTGACGCCCCAAGCACAAGTTGGAGCTAATTTGCCTTGAAATCAGCAGCTCTGGTTATGTGGCGCTGAATAAAGCAAATGTATCCAGATGGTTTTACTTAAGCGCCATCTGAGCGTTATTATCAAACAGATTACTCGGTTTCACGTTCTGCCGGCAACCGTACCACAGACCGCCAAGTGCAAAGCCGTGCCAGGAAAATCATTTCGACTTCACCTCTTTTCACTCCAGTTTGAAACAGACCAGGTCCCTTCCATAAACTTTCCACTTCCTCGCAAAGCCCACGATTCTCAACCTTCAGGAGACCAGCGCCAGCTAAATTCTTCCAAAACCTTCCATGCCCCAACCGGTTTTTAAAAAAGTTTATACTCTATGGAGTGATGAGTCAAAAATATGAGTTACAGTAATAAACAGACACTGACAAAATGATATAATTCTTCCTCCTTCTCGCTGTGTCTTTTCACCCTCTTCCTCATCCTCTCTCCCATTTACTATTGCTCTGGTTCTCTTACCCCTCAACCCCACCTTTTAGCTCTCTCTTATTATATTATCACCATCTCTCTCTCTACCTCTCTTATGTATTGTTAGTATTTATATAGCACCAACAATTTACATACAGAACATTTACATCAGAGCTTACAATCTAAGAGCCTATCTCACATACATACATACACACATACTAGGCCCAATGTAGACAGGAGGTAGTTAACCTACCAGCATGTCTTTGGAGCATGGAAGGTAAGTGAAGAGCGCAGAGGAAACCCATGCAAGCACAGGGAGAACATACAAACTGTGCAAACCGTGCCCAGGCATATAATCGAATCAAGGACAACTGTACTGTAATGCACTGTTGTGCTAACCACTAATTCTGGATTACAGCAGTGTGGATGCATAGACTTGTGGGTCTGCCCATACAGACATTTTTGGTATACAGGTTCACTTTAAACTCTCTGATTTTTAGAATGCTGGCATTAAGTGATGCTGCCACGTGTGAGCTGCAGCTTTTATTATCCTTCTGGAAGGCCATCTCCTCCACAGCCTCCTTCCTTCACCCCACCGTTTACTCCAATAAAGCACCCCTCAGTACCAGCGGGGTGGTAGAAGCAGCTGCCATGTTCATCCATAGTCCTAGCTACAAGTCACATGCCAAATTCCCCAATCATGGCATTTGCCAAGCGAACGAGAAATATCCTACAATTGAGTGTGAGATGAGCCCTACCAATACGATTATTTTTCCTCGGCCGTTGTCATCCTTCACATCCACCAGCAGATGGCGAAGTCAGAGCAATAACTGTACTTGAAGTGTACTAAAATCTAGTTTTGCTGTTCTTTTATGCTAAGGAATGTATTCTACATAAGTGGAAGGACTCGGGGGTCACCAACCTTATCACTCTGGATGCAGTTAATTAATGCAAATCTTTGTACAAGATAATGTATGCAAACAGAGGTCAAACTTGTCCATAAAATATGGGAAAAATTGACTCCATCTCCACACATCCACCTCTTTCCTATAGACTCACCAACTGCTGTTACGCAAACTGTATCCTATGCAATGTGCAGAAAACCGAATGCGTTAAGCTGACATTGTAAGAAGACACACTTATTCTGTTTCTTACATTTCGGATGAAATAATGCAATAAAAAAAGAACCTAGTTATGTAGAAATAGCAGACAAATCTTGGTTGTGGCCACTTACACTAACAGGGTGACTAACTTTATTAAGGGGAATGGAGGACATTTCTAATTACATACCCCAAGGAAAGGCTCAGTGAAGATCCAATAATGAACATTTAACCTATCCATTCATAGTTATAAAGAACAAATGGAGAGCCAAAACTTTTTTTTAGTTTTAGTACGGGAGGCTTAACACTCCTGTTCGGTTTTTATTGCTATCCAAGTGGCTGCTGGGAAGAGTCACCCTGTTTGTTATGATGACCTTTATTACTAGGGTAGAAAATGATTGGAAAGCCAAAAATTCTAGCTCCAGAAGAAGAGGTAAGGGGAAATCTTCCAAATGACGACATCCATTCCATGGCAAATGTCCAAGATGGGATTTACTGCTCACTTCGTTTTGCTTCACTGGGACAGGAAGTGATGGGAACTCTCCATGGCAGGACACAGACAACAAAAAATAAACTGACAGGGACTCAACCTTTCCCTACTCGATGCAAATCTAAGGAAACAAAAAGTGTCTTAAAGGCCACACTCCAAAATGCATACATAGTTTCTGGGGAGACTAAGGAAGACTATCAGGTTATTAATGCTGTCTGTGACCCACAGAGAGGAGATTTGGTCTCACTTTCTGTTGTGATACAGAGAAGAAATTCGGGTAATAGGCATCACCAAAATGTTGAGTTTTAAGCAAGTGTCTGCTTTTTCCAAGCTACCAATAGTCCCTCAGATTGACTCTTTATGGAAACAAATGCAAAACATATAGTGACAAAAAGATTTGGCTAAAAACCAGAGCTCTCGGTTTGACCACCTCTCTATCCCTTGGACGTGTAAACCTGCATGTTTTTTGGGGCTCCCACTGCACAGCCACTGTGCTTTTGCATTTTAAACTCTGAAATGATCAAGTCAAACCTACCAACTTATTTCTTCGACAGGAATCCTTCATGACAACGCCCTAAACCTGCTACTCTCTCCACTTACCTACTGGGCCAAGAAAAAGTCATGACCTACCACAACCCCCTGACTTTCCAAAAGCAGGTACATTGGGGCGCATCACAGATGGTTTCAGGAAGGAAAGTACCAGTGAATCAAACTCACTTTGTCATATTTATGTTCTCTGATAACATGCTTCACTTTAGAGGAACCAAAGATACCGGTTAATTCAACTGTGCACACCGTATATCATGGGTAAGGAGAAATGGCCCATGGGAACAAGAGCAGCAATCTTTATGTCTACACTCATGCAAAAGTAATTTAAAGCTACAGAGCTAAGCTACCTTTGAATTATTAGCAATCTGAACATTCAGTGTTACAGTTAAACAGATGTAGAGCATTTATAATCCCATTTAGAGGTGTAAATTAGTTAGAATCTTCCCGGCAACGCTAAAGTAATTTACAAACAATTTTACAATCTAAACAATGTGCCATTCCAACATGCGTTATAGATATCAGGAGACAGGTACGATACATCACTTTATTACCTCTAAGTACTGCCATGCAGATGATAACGGGATGCTTAGTCCAAGTCAAATGGAAGCACTTAAGCTAGCTGAATTTAAAGATATATTTCATGGCTTTTAAAGCACATCCACATTGAAAAAATATGTTTAGGATTTTTTTTAAATAAAAAAACAGGCCATGTTGAAATAATAACCTTGCCTCCAGAGGTATGCCTGCAGAAACATAGCCACCAGTCTTTGTTTGGGCTAAAGCTGGCCATACACTAAAATTTTCTTAGTTCTACCTGCGTGCTGAACAAAGAAAATAAAACCGATCCCTCAATAAACACCGGAGGAATCTCCCACTGTCTTCATTGTATTCTGACAGCCGCCACCTGCCGAAATTCACACATTGTATGGCCACCTTTAGTCACGGCAATGTCATTCAACTGCCTTACCGTTAGCTCAGGATTCTCTGAAACACCCCCTGGGTTCACAGTACAATCCTGCAGAGAGCTGTGCTGACGTTATAACATCATTGTCACTCTCTACAGTAATGAAGACTGGCCACCACTTTTGCAGGAGAGGAAGAGAAAAAAGACCCAAGGAAGTGTCGTGCCCAGAGAGAAGACCACAGGAGATAAAAAGGTATACATTCAAAAAGGCCTTGGCAGTTAAAAAAATAAAAAGGAGTTCTGCTCTAATACATAACTGAAACTAAAGTGATATTAAAATCAAAAGGTTTCTAAGCCATTTCAAATGCAGATTAAATTACTTACAAGGGATACTGCTCCTTGATGTTTAAAAGTGTTAGCTTCCTGCATAATGAGATGGTCTCCTGAGCACTGGCCCCAATATCCTGTTTGCATGGCTTCTTTCCCTTTAAGTGTCCTATGGAGCCCCATTTGTGTGGGCTAGTAAGCTGTGTGTCTCTGCAAATCCACAGCCACGGAAAGGCAACCCACTCCCCTCCTCCCTTTTCCAAGCTAGTAGATGGACAGCTGCTGGAGACTGTTCTCTCCCTTGTGATCTTGTATTGCACAGGAGTTCAGGGCAGCTGAGCTAAGAGAGTTGGAGCTGCTTGAAAGCAGGATGACTAAGTATTTGAGCAAAAATGTAAAGAATCACTTTTCTGGGCAATGTATGTTTGTTTGATTCAGACTAATTATTGAAAAAAAAAAAAGGAGAGAGGGTTTAAATAATGCTTTAATTGGTGTTTTTCCCCTTTTACTCTCCCCCCTGATTTCAGCCTTAAAGTAAAGCCGTCAAGAATAAGAAATGGCTCAAATGTCCCAGATAAGAAAGAAACAGAAGTTAACATGTCTGACTTAACTGACCTCTCTGATCGGAATGGTTTTTCCAGGGCAGTAACACTAAAAGTGTCTTTTTTTTTATAAGTTGGTCAGCAATGGCAGCACCAGTATTTTTCCGTTCAGAAGAAACCCAAGAAAACATGGAGAGTATGTGCAGATATAGACCAGGTACTAAACCAATTTTTCCGTTCAGAAGAAACCCAAGAAAACATGGAGAGTATGTGCAGATATAGCCCAGGCACTAAACCAAGAACCCCCGAGACACAAAGCAATGGTGCTAACCCCCTTAGTCACTTTGCAGTGCCCTTAAAATTCTTCCTCATATTAAATGAAGGCCTTTTACTCAAGGAAGCAAAAAAAAAAAATGCTTAGCTCTGTGCACAAATTTATAACTAAAGCAAAAACCTGCGGGGATTTACCTGAGAGCAACCGCGTGGTAAGTGTCAACGTAATCGGAGATGAAGAGCTCTCGATTCCGAATGACTGGATCTGTGATAACCAGCTCCCGGCCAGAATCTACACAGGAGATGAAGGGAAAAGAAAGTCATTGCTGCAATACTTGTATACCACAATCGCTGTCGGTGATCCAGAAAGAGAACAAGAAGAAGGATTTGGGCTGATTACAAACATTAAAAAAAAATAGTCTCCCAGACTCACCATTTTCATTGTTCCGATCTTGTACCAGGTGCTGGTAAACTGAATCTGGGACCTCGGACTGACGGTAGTACCACTTTACATTCATCAGTAGATGGTCTCGTTTACTCTGAAAACCAAGAAAACAGTATTTCAGTCTCCCTACAGATCATGGATTAATAAATATGCTATAGAAGGTAAAAAGCACTACAAACAGGCACACAATGCAGTTCACATGATGCCAATATACTTTAATATTTACACCTCCGGCCTAAAACATTGTGACACAATTAAACCTTTAGCTGTTGGGAGACTTAGACTCCTAAACGCACATTTAATACATGAAAATACACTAAAGCCTAAAACATTTTGATGGGGGGG